TGCCTAATTTCAGAAATTCCAGCATCTACAAGCCTTTGCCGTGTCCCCCTTTGCATTTCCAGCTTCCCACTTCATCATTGCACCACATTCTCTTCCATATTCCCTCTTTAATCCACATGCATTCATCATCATTCACCCTAGCTGTCTTTCACATGGCTTTCACATTCATTTCCAGCACATCCACACCTTGCCGTGCATCCCATTCCATTTTCCAGCTTTTCTCCTTCATTGCAGCCACACTTCCACATGCATTCCCTTTTTAATCATTCTTTTCCTAGCTGTTTTTCCATCATTATTTCAGCCACATGCACTCTTAAACAATCAGCCACATATTCCCCCATTCCCCCTATAAAAACCCATGCATTCATACACAAAAACACACCATCTTCCCCTTAGAATCCTTTGCCGTGCAAAGAACCATCCATTCCAGAAAATCCTAGCCTTTGCCGTGCCTTCTCTTCCATTTCCACCATTCCCCACTCCATTCCACATACAAACACCAACCCAAAACCTATCCTAAGACCTTGTGCCGCAACAAAGAGGAGGAGAAGGGCCTAAACGTTCATACAATTCAAGTTTGAGTTGTTGGAATTTTTAGGTGTTTTCTTTTCCTTGATTTCAATGATTAAATTTACTTATCTTTGTTTTGTACGTATGAGGAACTAAACCCCCCATTAGCTAGGGGGTGATTCGAAACCATGTTTATGCTTGCAATATGAATTGATTACCTTTGGTTGGAATTTCATGAGTTGTGGATTCAATTTGTTTAACTGTTTGATTGATAACTTATTTATGTATGTTTATTGAGAGTGCACGCTTAATTTTCATGCATGAATATGACGTTAAAATATAAGTGAGTTTCACTGATGCGAACATTATAAGCACACAAATTAACCCTCTTTTTATCAGTTGTAGTGAAGTATGTAAGTAGGGATCGTTCTGGACCGGGGATTAGGAGGGATTGTTAATCACTTGGATTTGACTCAAAAACGTAAAAACACAATATAAGACACCAAACTAGACCCAAAGAATGCAAAACTAAAGTTTAAAACACTAAGACAAACCAAAAGACTCAAAACAGCAAGAAAACATTCAAAACTGCCTTAAAACTACTTTCTGAGCAGTTTTAAGCACTAGAGAAGAATTTGGACGAAAATAGTTATACTTGACTCAAGATACTCTAAAAACACAAACTAAATTGATTTCTAACTAATTTGACACTCCAAGTAAAGGGGGATTTAGATTTTGACGAATTTGGAAACAAAACTTAATACTTTGTAAAACGAACAGATTTTAAAAACGAATTTGATGGAATTTAATGGATGGGAAGCTAGCTAAGGGGTTCATCTCCACACATGTTTGATAGGAGCATATTTATGCGACTTAATTGGCTTGTTCTCGTGCATTTACGTTGTGTTTCTTTAGTTATTTTAGTCCTTTATGCCATTTTCGTGTGTTTCTAGGTTCATATGGCTAAGGAAGCAAAAAGGTGCATTTTGGAGCAAAATTGGGCTTGGAATGGATAGCTTACGTTTGGAGCAAAAGGAATGGACGAAATTGAAGAGGATTCCTAATCAAATGAGGAATCTTAGTCAAAGAAGGTTCCTACCTATTCTAGGTCACAAAACTTGCAACCTTAAGCCATGCCGTGTATCCCCTTGGTGTTTCCCTTCCTTGCCGTGCAAGGGAGGGCCTTCTTTCCTGTTTTAAACCATTTAAACACATTCCTTTTTTTTCATACCAAGCTCGGCCATAATTCACATACCCTTTTCTATACCAAAATTCTTCCCTAATTTTGTGAGCCTTTGATTTAATAAGCTAGGGTTTTATTTTCTATAACCCTATATAAACTAAACTTCCAGCCGCACCCTAGCTCTATTATTCATTCCATCTCAGATTTTCACCCTTTATTTTCACCTAGCTCTATTATTCATTCCATCTCAGATTTTCACCCTTTATTTTCACCCTAGCCGACCTAACACATGCTCTCCCATCATCATTCCACACCTCCATTGCAGCCACATGCTCTCCCATCATCATTCCACACCTCCATTGCAGCCACCAACCAACCTAGCTGTCACCCACATGCTCTCCCATCATCATTCCCTCTTTAATCCATTCAGCCACATGCTTTCCCATGTGATTATTCAGCCACATCCATGCACTCTTCATGATGGCAGCCACATTCTCTCCCTAGCTGTCATATTCCCTCTTTAATCATTCAACCACCTATAAATAAACATCCATTGCAGCCACAAAACATTCATTCATTCACCAATTCACGCCAGAAATTCATCCCCTCTCTATAACACATCCATACTTCACCATTCTTCATATTTTCTGCCCAAAAATAAGCCTTGCCATCCCCTACATCCATCCCTATCCTAAACACATCATTCTACACCATCCATAACCCCCAAAACTCACAACAAACCCTTGTGCCGCAACAAAGAGGAGGAGAAGAGTGCTTAAACGTTCATACAATTCAAGTTTGAGTTGTTGGAATTTTTAGGTGCTTTCCTCTCCTTGATTTTAATGGTTAAAATTACTTATCTTTGTTTTGTGCGTATGAGGAACTAAATCCCCCCTTGGCTAGGGGGGAATTCGAAATACATGTTTATGCTTGCAATATGATTTGATTACTTCCAATTGCGTTTCATAAGTTGTGAATTCAATTTACTTATCTATGTGAATTACATTGATTTGTGTGTGTTGGTTGAGAGTGCACGCTTAATTATCATGCATAAATTGGATGCTAGGATATAAGGAAATTTCACCTAATCGTTATGGAATTATATTCACAAGTAGTAAAGGTTGATGATCTCAATCGCGTGAAGTAAATTCTTGGCATAAGTTTCATGCAATCATAGTAACAAGTGCTTCGTCAACGCTTATGGTTTTCATAGAACTTAATGATTCTTGCTTGTATCTCTATTATGCAATCATGTAGGGGACTTGTGGGGAATGTTTTGGGTTGTCGTATGCAATCATCCAATTCAATAACGTTAGGAAAATCTGAGGGTTAATTAGTGCAATTCACGGTTAATCTGGGGCGTTGAGAATTCATGGTTTATTGAAAAGCAATTAGAAATCGTTTTGTGTGCAAGTATAACATCTGTGGAGTGATAAGCTCATATTTATATATATTTTATATCAAATTCACTTGTCTTTTCTTAGTTAGTTCCTTATATTTTTGAGTTATTTACCTTGTTTTTGTGTTTTGTAGGATTTGTCAAGTAAAGAAAAGAAAAATAACACAAGTGGAATGTTAAGTAATAAATTCGTCAAAACTGCCTGTGCAGGTCAGCTGACTTTAGAAGCAAGGTGCGGACAGCTCAGAACGAATTAGAGAATGAGTCTTATATGCTTGGAAAGCTACGGATGTCTATTTTCTGGAGCATTTTACAGATTGTTAATATCATTTTTCTAGAAAAAGTTATGGCCGTTCAAACACTGAAAGGTTCCCAGGAGGCTGAGCAGTTTGTAACTGACAAAGAAGCATTGAAAGCAATAAATCCCATAAAACTAACAGCCAAAACTGATGCAGCCAAGAACAAGCCAGCTAACACCTATTCAAATATCAGAGGAAATGAAAAATTAAGTGAGAGTAATGGGCATAAAGGCTGCCCAAAGAGTTACAATTGTTTTAGCATTTCCTCCCACTTATTGTCATCACTAAATGGCTGTTAGTGGGGTGAGTTATGGAGAAAAAACTGTGGCAGCAGAAAAGAAGAAAATACCTACAGGTTGCAGTAACAAAGGGGAAAAAAAAGTGTGAAAAAAAGATAGAAAAAAAAGAAGCAAAGCAAGGGAAAAAGGGAAGGCTGCTGCGTTGGGGAAGGAAGGAAAGGAAGAAGGAAATCTTGGCATTCTCTTCTCTCGGTTTTATCTTCTCAAACTCATGTCTTTCTTTTGGTTTAATTTGAGAATTATGTGTAACTAATTTTTAGTAGTTAGGGGCTGTTTTGAAGCCCCTAATATGATTGCAAGTTTGTTATGACATTTCGTTTGAATTACTTTTACGAATGGATGAAAATTGGTTCACTACTTGTCTCATTGATGAATTCTTTATGTGTTTTCTATGGATGCATACTTAGTAAGCATATCTAGGATTCTAATGCTATGAATATGTGTGTGCCTTCCCTTGTTGAATGAGGACCTACATATGTTCTAGAGTAGTACTTGTTAATTGCGATTAACATGTGAATCAATTTCTAGGATAAGTAAGACAACGCTAGTACTTACGATGCCTTGTGATGACTCAAACTCTTTTCGTTCTTAATGATTTCTACTTGTTAAATCTATGAACACACCATTCGTGATTGCATGTTAGGGACTAAGTTAAGTTGAAAACGCCATTCTCTTAACATACTACATAAGAAAGAGTAATAGGTTGAGTTCTAACATTGAGCCAACTTGAGCATCTTCATCCAAAAATGAAAGGAATTTGAATGAAACATAACATGTTTGCATGATTATTTGGTGGTGGATAGCAATTCCCCTAACTCGTTTTTCTTAATTTGTGAACTACTTAAAAATCTGTCTCTGTCTTGTTTTTGTTCGATTTAATTTAAATATCAAATCAACTCCAAAAATCCCAAAAATATGTGTGAGTGTATCTCTGTGCGTCTAGTATCTGCATATAAAATTTCGTAGACTTTAGATAAGTGTAAGTCGGTCTAATAATTATTTTTCGGTGGCTGGTCAGTAGGGACAGCAGCCCAGTTTTTGTGACATTTTAAGTAGTTAGATAAAACAATCTTCTGCGGGAAAGACCCTTATTTTCATATGCTACGATTGACAAATATTATTGTTAATAAGGAAAATTAATAGGACATTTGTGTGCTACTTTGTGGTGTGCATTTAATCCTACCAAATTTTTGGTGCCGTGTCACCGGGGATTGTTATTTCTAATTGCTACTTATTTTTTTTATTGTTTTCTTTTCTTGTCTAATTAGTGTTTTTGTTCTTGTGTTTATTTCAGGTACTCTTCGTAGTATATGCGTACTCGAAGGTCCAAGAGCATTGATCTAGATTCCTACGATCCTGAGGTTGAACGAACACTTAGAAAGCTTCGAGGAACAATCAAGCAAAAGCGTGAATCGGTGTCTTTACCACCATCTTCTCCACCACATTTGAGTTTGGAAGAGGAGGAAGAACCACAAGAAGGCATGGCTGATAACCGGACTTTGAGGGAGTTGGCAACACCTAATACAGATCAACAACCATTGTGCATCACATATCCAAATGCAGGGGGAGGATTTGAGCTTAAGTCCGGCATGATTCACTACTTGCCTAAGTTCCATGGCTTCTGAACAGAGGATGCCAACAAGCATCTCATGGAGTTTCATGTGGTATGCTCGGGAATGAGACCAGCCAATGTGGATGAAGAGCAAGTCAAGTTGAGGGCATTCCCATTTACGTTAGAAGCTAAGGCAAAGGAGTGGCTTTACAATTTACCTCCAGGATCAATGAACACATGGAACCAGGTGAAGCAAGCATTCTTGGAGCAATATTTTCCGGCCACAAAAGCTGCAAGCATAAGGAAAGACATATGTGCAATCCGACAACAACATGGAGAGCCCTTTGGAGATTACTATGAGCGATTCACACATTTGGTTGCATCTTGTCCTAATCATCAAATTTCAGAGCATCTTTTAATACAATATTTTTATGAAGGATTGTGTGGTACTGATCGTGTAATGCTTGATGCAGCAAGTGGAGGAGCATTCATGAACAAGTCACCAACAAATGCTAAGGCATTATTAAAGAACATTGCTGGCAACACACGACAATTTGGAGGGAGAGATGAGCTACCTCTTAAGAAAGTTAACGAGGTAAGTGCTAACTCTAGTATTGAATTACAATTAGCTAACTTGACTAATCTTGTGCAACAGGTTATGGTGGCTCCAAAACAGGTGTGCAGTGTTTGTTCAATGATGGGACATGCCACGGATATGTGCCCTTCGTTAATGGATCAAGGTGGTCTTGAGCAAGCTAATGCGTTAGGAGGGTTTCAGGGGCAACAAAGACAAAAGTATGATCCATACTCCAACAACTATAACACAGGGTGGCGCGATCATCCACACTTAAAGTGGAACAATCAAGACAACGGACAACAATCTGTTCCCAACAACTATAACCGTCCACCTGGCTTCTTTCAAGCAAGACCGCAGGCACCGTTTCAGCCTCAACAACAACAAGCTCCAAGTAAGTCTCTTGAGGATTTAATTGCTTCTTTAGCTAACTCTACTCAATCTCATCAACAGAAAACAGACAAAGCAATTGAAAACCTTGAGCGCCAAATGAGTCAGTTAGCAAGTTTGATGGGGCAACAACATCAACCAGGAAGGTTGCCTAGCCAAATCGTGGTGAATCCAAATGCGGAGCAGATGAATGTTGTGACTTTAAGGAGTGGAAAAGAAGTTTTTGAGCAGCCAAGGATGCAAAAGAGGACTAGAAAAGATACAAATGAGCAAGGGGAGCAACAAACCAAAAATCTTGAGCAAGATGAGGCTTCAACAGAAACTGAAAAGTCTTATAAAGATACAGAATTAAACAAAAAAGATTCTGATAAGGTAAGTAAAAAAGTTCAAAATTCATTTAACTTATGTGTCCCTATTCCTTTTCCTCGTAGGTTTATGAAGTCTAAGAATGACCAAACTGATAAGGAAATCTTGGATACTTTCCGACAAGTCCAAGTGAACTTACCTCTTTTAGATGCCATAAAACAAGTGCCCAAGTATGCAAAGTTCCTTAAAGAGCTTTGTACGAACAAGAGAAGATTCAATGATCAAGAAACTGTGGCATTAAGCGAGGAAGTATCAGCTGTTTTGCAGAGAAAGCTACCACCGAAGTTGAAGGATGCCGGTAGCTTTACCATTCCATGTGTAATCGGAGGGAAAGAGTTTGGAAGAGCATTGTGCGATCTGGGGGCATCCATCAATCTGATGCCATATTCAGTGTATGAATCACTAAACCTTGGAGACTTGAAGGAAACAAAGGTAGTAATCCAGTTGGCAGATCGTTTAAATAGATATCCCAAAGGCCTATTGGAGGATGTACTTGTGCAAGTGAATGAACTTATTTTTCCCGCTGATTTTTTTTGTTCTTGAGATGGAACATGACCCTATGCCTACTGCACTTCCTCTTATATTGGGAAGACCATTCCTTAGAACGGCGCGTATGAAGATTGATGTTTACGATGGTACTTTAACCATGGAAATTGATGGAGAAAGTGTCAAGTTCAAAATCTTCGATGCTATGAGGTACCCTAGTGATTTTGAATCTTGTTTGTCTATTGATGCGTTTGACTATTTTGTGCAGGATATTTTTAATGAAGGTGTGGGACAAGACAATTTAGAGAAGGCGTTAGTGCATAGCATTACACATGGAAAACTTAATTATTCCAAGCACATTGAAGAAGAATTAATCCAGACAGTGGCAGCCCTTGAGTCTCTTTCACCAATTCATGGTAAGTTTTCTTCCCATTTTATTTCTCTTCCTACTTTTAACGAAAAAATTCTTCCTTCTGTGATTCAGGCACCCAAATTGGAGCTTAAACCGATTCCTGAACATTTGAAGTATGCATTTTTGGGAGAGGATGAAACATTACCGGTCATCATATCATCACAACTCACAGCAGAAGAAGGGGAGAAACTGATCCGGGTACTGAAGGATCACAAAACTACCATAGCTTGGAGCATTGCAGATATCAAAGGCATAAATCCAGCTACATGTATGCATAGGATTCTGCTGGAGGAAGGTGCAAAACCTACAAGGGAAGCTCAACGCCGTTTGAACCCACTCATGATGGAGGTCGTCAAGAAAGAGGTTATCAAGCTTCTTGATGTTGGCATCATATATCCTATCTCGGACAGCAAGTGGGTGAGCCCTGTTCAAGTAGTTCCGAAGCGATCCGGAGTCACAGTTGTTAAGAATGAAGCTAGTGAGCTAGTGCCTACACGTGTGCAAAATAGTTGGAGAGTCTGTACAGACTACCGGAAGATAAATAGCACCACACGCAAGGATCACTTTCCAGTTCCATTCATTGATCAAATGTTAGAAAGGTTAGCTGGTCATTCTCATTATTGCTTTCTTGATGGCTATTCTGGATATAATCAAATTGCAGTTGCTCCGGAGGATCAAGAAAAGACGACTTTCACATGTCCATTTGGCACATTTGCATACCGGAGGATGCCGTTTGGACTTTGCAACGCCCCCGCCACATTTCAAAGGTGTATGGTAAATATCTTTTCTAATATGATTGAGAAAATAATTGAAGTGTTCATGGATGATTTTTCAGTTTATGGTGATTCTTTTGATACATGTCTACATAATTTGTCCTTAGTTTTAAAACGTTGTCAAGAAACTAATCTGGTCTTAAATTGGGAAAAATGTCATTTCATGGTTTCACATGGATTAGTTTTAGGGCATATCATATCTGAAAATGGAATTGAAGTTGATAAATCTAAAGTAGAACTTGTTAGTTCTTTACCTCTCCCTACTACTGTCAGGGAGGTTCGTTCTTTTCTTGGACATGCAGGTTTCTATCGTAGGTTTATGAAAGACTTCTCAATGATTTCTAGACCCTTGTGCCGTTTGCTTCAAAAGGATGTAATATTTGATATGAATGAAGAGTGTGTGGTAGCATTCAACAAACTTAAGGAGTTGTTATCCACGGCTCCTGTGATCATGCCACCAGATTGGAGTTTACCTTTTGAGTTAATGTGCGATGCTTCAGATTATGCTGTCGGTGCAGTTCTAGGACAACGTGTCAACAAAGTGCCACATGTCATCTATTATGCATCACGAACACTCAATGATGCACAGTTGAATTATTCAACAACAGAGAAGGAGCTTCTAGCTGTTGTATTTGCTTTAGAAAAATTTAGATCTTATCTAATTGGAACTAAAGTTATTGTGTTTTCTGACCATGCAGCTTTGAAGTATTTACTCACAAAAAAAGATGCAAAACCGCGACTCATTCGATGGATACTTCTGCTTCAAGAGTTTGACTTGGAGATCAAGGATAAGAAAGGGAGTGAGAATGTTGTAGCAGATCATCTTAGCAGACTTGTACACTCAAACATAGAGGAAGATTTCATCCTTTTACGTGAGAGTTTTCCGGATGAGCAATTGTTTTCATTAAAGGTTACTGACCCTTGGTATGCAGATATTATCAATTACAAGGTCACCAAAAAGATTCCGGATGATTTTACACGTGCTCAGAAAGATAAGCTTGTCAAAACCGCCAAATACTACGAGTGGGATGATCCTTATTTGTGGAAATATTGCCCTGATCAATTGATTAGAAGGTGTGTCCCTGAATCTGAGTTTAAATCTATTCTAACTTTTTGTCATTCTTATGCATGTGGCGGCCATTTTGGAGCAAAAAGGACAGCCCTTAAGGTGTTAGAGAGTGGTTTTTATTGGCCTAGTTTGTTTAAGGATGCGTACGAGTTTTGTGCAACATGTGATCGTTGTCAACGAACAGGTAACTTGGGCCCAAGAAATCAAATGCCACAAACCTCTATTTTGATTGTTGAGATCTTTGATGTGTGGGGCATTGATTTCATGGGACCTTTTCCATCTTCAAATGGTTTTCTTTACATTTTATTGGCTGTGGATTATGTTTCTAAATGGGTGGAAGCGAAAGCCACCAAAACTAATGATTCAAAAATTGTTTCAGATTTTATTAAGACTAACATCTTTGCAAGATTTGGGACACCTAGAGCAATCATTAGCGATGGAGGGAGTCACTTTTGCAATAGAACATTTGAAGCGTTGCTTAGGAAGTACAATGTCACACATAAGGTGTCTACACCTTATCATCCGCAAACTAGTGGTCAAGCAGAAGTATCAAACCGTGAGGTAAAGCAAATTTTGGAGAAAACTGTGAGTCCTAGTAGGAAGGATTGGAGCATGCGCTTGAACGATGCATTGTGGGCATATAGGACTGCTTATAAGACTCCTATTGGAATGTCCCCATTTCGGTTAATTTATGGGAAACCATGCCGTCTTCCAGTAGAATTGGAACACAAAGTTTATTGGGCAATCAAAGCCTACAACATGGACATGAGTGTTGCTGGACAGCAGAGGAAGCTTCAATTGAATGAGTTAGATGAAATCCGAAATGATGCATATGAGTCTAGTCGAATATACAAGGAGAAATCAAAGGCATTTCATGACAAGATGATATCAAGGAAGAGCTTTGCCATTGGACAGAAAGTTCTTCTATTTAATTCTCGCCTTCGGTTATTTCCAGGTAAACTTCGTTCTCGATGGGTTGGTCCGTTTGTTATAACTAATATTTTTCCTCATGGTGCAGTGGAAATCCAAAGTGCAAAGACCAAAAACGTGTTTAAAGTGAATGGACATAGACTCAAACCATATTACGAGTCTTTTGCGGAGCATGATGTGGAGGTTGTACCCCTCCAAGAACCAGCTTCCCTTGAATGATTACTCTTGGTACCGTTCGGCTGAGGACGTAAAAGCAAGCGCTTATTGGGAGGCAACCCAATATTTCTATTCATTATCTTTTTATGTCATTTTCAATTTTTCGTTTGTTTTGTTTTCTGAGTTTTCACGCATGCTAAGTTGAATTATTTCTTTTCTTTGTAGGAATCTTAGGTTATGTCCACCCTTGGAGTTGATTGCAGAATTGAAGTTTGGGGGTCATCACTTGATTTTATTGCAAATTGGGGAAGTTTTCAGTCCAAATGCTTTATTTTGTTTCTTACTATTTTATTTTTATTTTTATTTTATGCATTATTGTGTTTTCTGACATTGGGGACAATGTCCAGTTTAAGTTTGGGGGTAAAGATTGAAAAAATGACCAAATTGAAAATTTTCGTCCCTTTGACTAAGAACTGGTTTAATTTGTTTCCTTGTTGTTTTTTTTGTTTTCTTAATTAGTTTTGTTGACTCTTTAAAAAAAATAAAATAAAAAAAAAAAGAGAAAATTTTGAAAATATGAAAAATCCAAAAATAGTCTTATTTTATTTATTGTTTTGAATTAGATTTTTATTAGTTTCCCGACCCAATGATATAACTGGATTGAATTTGAACCACGGTGATCAAGAACTTAGTAAGCATGTATTGTGTGAAGTTCCTTATTCTCTTGTTAGCTTTGTACATGTTTAATCATCTTTGAAAAACCAAAAGCACATAGCCTTGTTGATGTGAAACTAAAGCATGATTTAAAGCTTCATATGTGAACATAGTGACCATATACAACCTATGTGAGTTTTTGAGCCTATTGAAAGTGTGTGCATTTTTCATACACTCCTATTCTTTCATGTGTGATGAACTTATGTGACTTACATCTCTAGAACTTGCATAACGATCTTTCGAAATGTTTGTCATTGATTTTATGAACTTGAAAATGATAGAGGCATTAGGTTTATCACCATGGCCCAAATAGGCATGTTTCCTAAAGAAAAATGATATCATTAGATTGCCAATTTGAGCCTATATGTTAAGCCTTTTAATTCTTATCACCAGATATGTCTGCCCTTATACCTTAAACATTTTTCCTTACCCTTTCCAAGCTAGCTAGTGAGCAATGTGAGATTGTCTTATGAGAAATGTTTGTGAAGTACTTTGAAAGAGTTTGGCAAAAGAATAAGTGTGGGGGTATTTCATGTTTGTATTTAGTTATGTGCGAAAATTGGTTCAAAAAAAAAAAAAAAAAAAAAAAAAAAAAGAAGGAGAAGAAAAATTTTTGTATACAAAGCAAATAAAAAGTTTAGGGGTGTGATTGGAGGTATTAGTAGAGTGGTTGGAGAGCTTGAGTTCTTATAAATCTCAACAAGAGAATTGCTTGCAATGTAGCTTGGAACTTGTGTTTACATATCCTTTCATTTCTATAACCCCCTCCCTAAGCCTCATTACAACCAATAAAAGTCCTCTTGATTTTAGTTTTGCAATTATGATTGTGGAGATGAGATCTTTATGCAAGCTTATGGTAGATCTTTCACATTTGATTCTTTGAGCGAAACACGTTAAACTAAACATATGTGTGATTGAGTGTATGTCCCGTGAGAAGGTCACTAGTTTGCATGTAGTGTTTTAAAACAAAACTTGAAATTGCATTAGCATGGCTATTACACACACTACACTTCAAGGATGATTAAAAGGTCGCTGTTAACATTTGAATAAGGAAGATGAGCTTGGATTAGCTTGCTTGGTGCTAGCTAAGGTTCTTGATGATTTGTTTTCTTGAATGAAATTCTATGAGGGTGACATAGTGGGGAGCTAATGTTTTTCATGTTGCTACTTTTTCATGTTTTCTTTGTTTTGCTCGAGGACTAGCAAAAGCTAAGTGTGGGGGTACTTGATAAGCTCATATTTATATATATT